CCTTCAGGCGTGTACATGCGGCTATTTGTAAGTTTTTGGCCCATAATATCATCGGTAAAAGTAGGGATAAAGGAAAGAAAGTTGTGTCAAAATATGTCAAAAAACTTTGTTGTCATAATATGACATAATGAAAACCAGCCTTTATTCGCCCATACAGTTAGGGACGCAACATCGCTCTTAAAAACATCGATGCTCCCGCAACAAACATCGATGTCAAAAACCATCGGTTATAAAAACGATATATCGATGTTTTACCGATGTTTTAATATTTAATCTACTACACGAAAGAAAATGTAGCCTGAAATATTTTTTAAACTCGAAAGAACTAGATTCACATATCCGCTGCAAACCATAACTTTATACAAAACTTTGAAAAATTCAACACATTTTTATCTTAATTTTGAACTTTTTTATCTGAATTTTTAGAAAAAGCCGTTAAAAATCGCCTTGATTTTTAACCTTTTATATGAAAAAAACGCAAAAGCCGCCAAAAAAATCATTAAAAATCAAAGCGATTTTTAGCCGCTTAAAACTTGCACCTGTTTTATTATTAATATCTTAAATATATGAAATTAAATATGTAAATCTTATTTATTTAAATATGAATAAACATTTTGAAATTAGTTCAGAAAACAAGCTTTGATAATCTAGCCCCCAAAAGCCTGCTTCTATCCTGAATGATGGTTGCACCAGCTTCCGAAAACAAGCGCTCGCTTGCCACTGGTCGTTCGGCACAATACGAACGGAGTGAGTGAACGATGTCGATGTTTTTCACTTTCCTAGACGATGTATCGACGATGTATCGTCCAGCAAAACATCGATATTAACATAGATTTTTTTGGACGAAACATCGAAACAGTCCAGTGTCTGGGATGTCTTCAAATTTCAAATTTTCTTTAGATGAGAACTATAGCTATTCGACCCATATTCGCTTTTTGATTTCTGGAAATATATTTAAAATGCTTTCGAAGTTACTTACGGCAATTTGATTATTTTCTAGCAGACTTTTCCTGTTGTTTTATAAAAAGCTGGATAAAGAAGTATACTTCGCAAAGTGTGTTTTTCGTCTTTTTCGCCAATATTTTTCAGTAGTCAAAATTAAACAACGCTTCTTCGATTCCCATTAGACTATAGTCTATAGATATAGGCTCAGTTAAAAAAAAAACCTAATCATGTTTAAAGTACATCCATCTTTTGTATTCATGTTTAAAAAAAAATGTATAAAAAAACTTCAAATTAATGATGTAAATTTTTTTAGGTACAATCTGTCTCATTTAGGTACATTTACTTTATGATATTAGGTACAATCTGAAATTTCCATTTTTCATCCCTGCTCTGGATCCAATCCACTGTTGTTGTTGTAGCGGCTACAACAACCCCGCCCAGATCGCTTGATATCTCAGTCGTTGTCGTCGAGTTCCACTAACGGCAGCCCCAACAAGCGTGCAGCCTCTATAGGGGCGGTCCACATAGACGAAGCCGTTAGGGTTGTCCGGGCATGCGAAGAGATGTTTCGAGTCGTGTGGGGTCTCCGCATGCCGGACATTCATTCGGCACATCCGCATTTAGCCTACTCAGGTAGAAGTTTAGCCTGCTGCAGTAGCCAGAGCAAAGTTGGGCTATTGTTCTGGTCTCCCGAGGCAGATGGAGCTCCTTCGCGTCAATGTCCGGTGTTTGTGTGCCTAGAACGACATTCACCGGTCTAGAGTCTACATAAGTCGAGACTACGTCCCTGTGAATGCCGTTCAGGGCCTGTCTATAAGCTGACGGGTCCAGAGGCTGCTTAATGAACCTCTGCACTTCGTCCGTCAGTTCATATAGATGCCTCCTGACGTGCCTTGGCGAGGGCTCCTCTGCAAGCAGCTGTCTATTTGGGTGGCCACATCTGTGGCTCCCAACCAGAAACTGCTTGCAGAGCATCGTGTTGTGCGCCCTAATCGGGAGCATTTTCGCTGCATCATGGAGGTGGTGTTCTGGTGACATCAGGAGGCATCCGGTCGCTGTCCTGAGTGCTGTGTTTTGTGCTGTCTGTAGCTTCATCCACTGTTGTTACGTTGCTTGAACTTATACCGAAAGACGAAAAGAAAAGTGATCGGTTCAAAAATCTTTACCGTCGATGTGTGGTGTTACTTGATCAAAAAAGTCGATTAACTTGCTATTCAGAATTGGCGAACTGAACTGAACGAGAATGGTTATGACTGCTGATCAATGGTGTTCGCATCGCAGATCGATCACCATTCACCCCCGCGGAATTAAATAATCAAAATATCCACAAAAATTTTGATTGAAAACGAGCTCCAATAAAAATCAGTTAAATCATGCCGTGTGAAGACTGAGGACGATATTGATTTACAGTGATTATGAATTCAAAAGATAATTATTTGATTCAATCTCATTTATAATATATATATATATTTATATTTATAATAGCGCAATTTCTAAAAGAAAAATGTATCAAAAATCTATTAAACTCGAATATGTATGGTTGACTGACGTACAATTTTGAGACCAACAAAATGAGAAAAACGACTAAAAGATTTTAGTTTTTCCTTACATCTAATTTTATGATGTATTAAATTGATTCGATGATGAAATTGCTATTTTCCCTCAGCTGAGCACGCGGTTATTTTATGCCGGGCTTAAGTGTGGTTATGTTCAACAAAAACTTATTCTTTTTCACCCGTTTAGTTGGGCGCCAATGATTTGCTTGACCTTAGTTTGTCGGTCCAAACAGGAATCTTTATTTACGGTTGATGGATAGCTCGTTTCCAATGGATGGTGGCAAGAAAGTGGCTGACTTACGTGTAATGATTTTGTATTACCGGCTTATGGTGGCTTAATTGCTGTCAAATGAATGCGAATTTTTGCAATGATGAGTTCTTTGATCGGAATTTGTTTACTGTTTTTCGCAAGGATAGAGACAGTACTGCGACAGATACCTCTCGGGGGGGCGGTGTTCTTGTTGCTGTAAAAAGTGGCATAAGCGCCGCTGTCGTTACCCTAAAAAAAGCTGATTCTCAACTCGACCAGCTATGTGTATCTATCGATGGTGATAGGGCGAAGTTAATCATTTTTGTATCGTATATACCACCTAATGGTTCAGAGAAACTATACCGTGATCATGTAGATAATGTTTTAGATTTATCACTTGCTAATAAGGAAGCCCAATTCTGTATTCTGGGTGACTATAATCTTAGCAAAATTATATGGTCATGCCTTTTGGACGATACAGTGCTTATTCCTAGTAATGTGTATTGCCCCAGTGAAATTTATTTAATCGATGGTTTCTTTAGCTTACAATTAAGACAAATTAATCACTTTGAAAATGAGCTTAATAGGATTGTAGATCTTATATTTATTTCAAATGACTTATGGTTTAAGCTATGTAGGTCAGACTATCCAATATCTCCAACTGACAAGCATCATATCCCACTCATACTGGAGCTTGAGTTTTATGAGTATTCTGCCTGCCCACAAGAAACTGCCGTGAACTCTAATTTTAATTACTCACGTTGCGACTTTGAGCATTTAAACAACCTAATTTCTGGCGTAGATTGGGAAAGGTTATTCATGGGGTGTAGTCTCCCGGACTGCTTTGACAAATTCAGATCTCAACTTTTTCAAATTAATAGAGAAAACATCCCAATTTTTCCCGTGTTTACAAATTACCATGGTATAATAAGAGATTAAAAAAATTAAAGAATTTACGGAATAAATTTTATAGACTACTTGAGAATAATGATAGTATCCAGCATAAAGCATTGTATGAGAAATATATGGTTGATTTCAACTGTTTAAACAAGTTTTTGTATAATAAATACCTAATGGGTTTTGAAAATAACATCAAATCTAATCCCAAAGCATTTTGGTCCTTTATCAACTCAAAGCGTACCACCTCGGTTTTTCCAAATTCCTTGCAGTATGGAGGTAAGCAGTCATCGTCAATTAATGACACAGTGAATATGTTCGCAGATTTTTTCAAATCGAACTTTGTTAATGAGTGTCCATTGAGCAATTTGATTATTTTCTATTAGTATTGAGTCCACCTGCAACAACACTTCTACTTCTTTAGATTTTGGATCTCTGCTCTTATCACAAGATGATATTTCTTAAGGAATACGAACCTTAACGAATCCCAAAAAAGCGGACGTGCATCAAATATCGTCTTTTTTTCTCAAGCAATGCATTTCGTCGATTTCGGAACCACTGCTACTTTTATTCAATTTATCATTAAAGTTAAGTCTTTTTCTGGATGAATGGAAAATCACTTCTGTGTCCCCCATTTTGAAAGCAGGTAACAAAAGCGACATCTCCAACTATCGCCCTATCTCTAAGCTTCCTATTACTGCAAAATTATTCGAAAAGATTATTAGTAACAAACTTTCTTTTGCTATAAAACAATTAATATCCCCTTGTCAACATGGGTTTGTACCATGATGCAATAATCCACATAAATTAAAGGTGTTGTACGTTGTGACAGCTCGAAATCGAACTACCTTAGGTCAATATTGTATTTTGGAAGTACAAGAAAAACGGGAAGAAAAAAAGCCCTTTAGTTGAAAAAGTACTAAATTTTATGCCTTCTCAACAGCGTTCCGATTATCTGAATAGGTATACATATGGCTTGGTAGTCTCATAAAGTTGTAGATAATTAAAATAATATAATAAGGCGTGTTTTTATTCACAGGAATATGATAATATGCTTAAAATTTTTGAGCTGATGAATACCCAGCTAGAACAGTATGGCATATATAACTCCTTATATAAGCCGCATCACTAAGAAAATTATCCCTTGTGAATTTGAAATGTTTCCCTTATATTGTACAGGCCAAATAGAGGAATTAATTTACGTGTGATCTTTTGTCCCCCTCTTTCACATGACCTTCTTGTGCGCATATATCAGGTTTCATAGCTGTTGACCATACCAATAATGCCTCATGCTCAGTTTTACTAGATCAATTCGTGTTCTCGAGAAAAAAATGTCACGATTCAAAAATCTGAGTATAGCGGCCAAATTCTTTTCTAAAAATTTTGAAAATTCTTCGTTTTTGGCCTATATTTGCTTTGTATGGTATTTACCATAAAATATAGGCCAAAAACGATAAATGTTCAAAATTTGGAGAAAAAAGATTTTTCACATTTTTGGATCGTGAAAATTTTTTTCTCGGAGAACACGAATTGATCTAGTAAATCTGAGTATGAGGCATTATTGGTATGCCAACAGCTATCAAACCTGATATATTCGCACTAAGGTTTTGTTGTGTTCCACAGTGTTATATAAGGGATACTTTGAGGAATCATATAAACAATTATACATACATTACCCAAGTTCACGTAAATCCAAATTATTTATTTGTGTTTGAAATTAATAATATATTTCAGAATTTATAATTAATACGTTGTGTTCATTTTAGTAAATCCACTTTGATTTTTAATTGTACAAAATTTATTATATACATACAGTATCGGTCATATCAATAGCAACCCTATTTCAAAGTGATATTATTTCCCTCTCATGTTAATTTATTTCTAAGAATTTACAATAAAAATAAAGTTCAATTTGTAACAAAACCCATAAGAACCGAATTTTAAAACTTCGTAGAAAACTACAAAAAATACAACAAATTTTCACCCAAAATTCACATTTTTTTCTCAGAAGTCTTAGAATTTTTTGAGCACTCAGTTTTATAGCCCCTTCAATTTTAGTCTTATTATATGCAAGTTTGAAGTGGCTAAAAATTACATTTGATTTTTTTATCTTTTTGTAAAAAGCAATCGCATTTTTGGCTAGTATGTATCAGGAAGAATGGATAAGGATTGAGCCAAGAACTTGTGAGAGCAAATCCAATTTTTAGCAGCAAATGTCAGTTACGCGGTTTTGTACTTAAACGACGATGCTTATATTAACAGGAACGCTGCAATTTAATACACGGGTGAAGCAGTAACGCAGCACAGCAGAAGCATACAAACAATCTGCAAATGAATGGCTTTTTAGGTTTTTAACAAACAAAAACCTGGTTTCAACTTACTTCAACGTGTCTAAAGCACAACGCACACACTAATGCAAAGGCGCAACTGAAGCGCAACACTATAAAACACGGGCGGAGCAATACACGGGCGGAGCAGGAACGCAGCACAGCAGAATCTGCAAATAAATGGTTCATTAGGTTTTGAAATAACAAAGAGCTGGTTCCAACTTACTTCAAAATATCTGCAGGATGATGCACACAATCAAATTCGGCCGCAGCTGCAGTTCACCAGAGAATGCTGCAAATGGAATGTTTCATCAATGATGTCAAAATAATATGTTGTAACTTACGTGTATTAGCTCTTAATTACAATACCAGCACAGGTCGGCCAGGAAAACACTAAGGAAATTACCTAATAAATGCAAAATTATAATTAATTTGTAAAATAATTCGGTTTTATTACAATACTTACCAAATTTCAAGCAATTAGAAAACAAATGTCAGCGAATAAGAACAAAACGAACAACGAAAATTGGATCAATGTAGCTTGTTTAGAATTTTTTTCTAATATTTTGGGAAATGTTCAGTGAAATTAGCAAAGAAACAACACAGTTTCTCCTAAGGTAGTTCAAGATGGCGGATTAGAGCGAGAAGTTGCCAACGTATAACACCTTTCATTATTGCATCATGGGTTTGTACCTGGGCGCTCAACCGTCAGTAACTTAACTGTTTTTTTCAAATTATTGTCTTTCGTCGTTTGTAGCTGGTTGCCAAGTTGATGTCATCTACACTGATATTTCAAAAGCTTTTGATCGTGTATCCCACAATCTACTTCTTAAGAAGCTAAATCTTTTTGGTTTTCACTCAAGCTTTTTGTCTTGGATTAAGACCTATCTCTCAAATAGAATAAATAAAGTTGTTGTTGATGGTGTTAGCTCATACCCCTACATTGTCACATCAGGAGTTCCGCAAGGGAGCATATTAGGTCCTTTGTTTTTTGTTATTTTCATGAATGATTTCAGTGCTTGTTTTAGATATTGTAATTATTTGTTATACGCAGATGACCTAAAAGTTTTCAAAAAAATTTAATGTTCTTCTGATATTGGGGTCCTTCAATTTGAGCTTAATAAATTTTGTGATTGGTGTTTTAATAATAAGTTGTCAATAAATATAAATAAATGTTGTTCTGTGACTTACTGTAAGTCTCGGTCTCCGTTGCTGTCGTCTTATACTATTTCAAATGTTGTCTTAAACTCTAGTTCCAGATTTAAGGATATAGGTGTTGTATTTGATTCATCTTTCACTTTTGTTGAACATCTAAACTATATTATCCCCAAAGCATTCGCCTCTCTAGCATTCATTAAACGCAATAGTGAACAATTCAAAGACCCGTATACGTAGGTCTAAACTTGAATATGCCTCTCTCATATGGAACCCTACCTATGAAATTCACCATAAGAGGATAGAACGGGTTCAGAAAAGCTTTTTAAAATTCGGCCTAGCCCAAATTAGGTTTGAAGACCCTTCTCCTCCATATATTTCGCGTTGCAAACTTATAAGCCTACATACACTTCGCAGTAGACGGCTTATTTCTGGCCTAATGTTCCTACATGATGTTTTGAATGGAGCAATTGACTGCCCTGCCCTTTTAGATCTCATTAAACTCAATGCTCCAATGAGAATGCTTCGTCAACAGGATTTGTTTGCGATTGATTTTTGTAAAACCAAATATGCTCTAAATCAACCAGTTATTAGGGTAATGAGTGAGTTCAATGCTTTATGTAAAGACAATAATGTCAACATATTCGCTAATCGCATGGAATTTAAATAAATATTATTTACTCTTTATTCGTAAATTTTTAATTTATTAATTGTTGTTATTTAGTCTGTAAGATTTTGTAAATCATAGACTCGAAATAAATAAAAAATAAAACATGAAAAAAATGAATAGTCCCGACTTGATGCTCACCACTTTTTATTCTAAGCAACAACATGGCTGGGGATTTGTCGGAAGGAATGTGACGGCACCTTTTGCCTCTATTAATTTCCACTGAGGGGTGGGTATCGACTCCCCGAATGCCGCCAGCTTTTAATACAAGCTTTTAATCTACTTTAATTACTTGGTTGTAATTCCGTTCTTGCGAGGGCTGATGAGTGTGGTTCGCTCCGAGTCCAATTCCAGAAAGAAATATTTTTTTCTAGCCTCGTATTATGTGGCCACCGATTCTTTTATCGTATGTCAGTGAGGGCATTTTCATAGTGGCCATGTCAATTCGTGGCCATACAACTGTCTTGAATAACTATTGGCTACGTACATTCATCTGGCAATCCCCCCCCCCATTTTGAAGCTTAGCTTTGACAGTTTTGTTATGTTTACATTTCCCATAATCGTTCTTGTGTCTATTATTTGGCCAATATAAATAATAGATCACTAACAAACACATTTTGGCAGAAGGGGTCTACCAACTTTAGCGGATAGAGTTTATCAAATCCACACGCTTGATACCCAAAGTCACTTTCTTATCTGGTTCCGTCATCGACGACGACGTCAGAAGCATTACTTCTCATCGAAGCAACATTCCAAGAGTTTCCAGAATGTTTCTGGAATGCAAGGCTCGTCAGAGCTGGGTCGTAATGATTCCTTTAGGAATTAAATTACTCCCAATTACAGATTACAAGGAATTGTAATTAGGAATCAATTCCTTCAGTCCACAGCAAAGGAATCGATTACTTTTTCAATTCCTTGAAGTAATTTCAAATGTAATTGGGTTTTTCTTTAATTCCATTACAAGGAATTTCATATTGTAATTGGAATAAATTACGTGCAAGTAATGTAATTTTTTTTCCAATTCCTTTGAAAGGAATTGAAAATGTAATTGATTTTTTTTCAATTCCATTACCTGGAATTGCAAGAGTACTTTAGTTTTTCCAATTACTCAAAGGAATTGTAAAAGTAATCGAGAAACTGAAAGTTCATTCACGAATATACAATGTGGAATTTTTGTTGTGGTCAAAGATTAAAATCGAAAGCACACATTGGACATCTTCTATGTATATCTATATATATATAAAAATGTTGTGTTCGTATGTCACGGTCATCAAAACCCGAGAACGGCTGAACCGATTTGAATAATATTTTTTTTATTATTCGGTATAATACCAGAACCAATGATATCTCAAAAATTTGGTGGGTTGCCACCTATTTTAAAATTTAATTAATTTAAAATCAATGAATTATTACAATATGGGTATTAAGTTAAAGAGGTTTAAGAAAGATAACTGCTGGAAGTATTTTTGACGAGGGTGGCCTCCTATTTGAAAATTTAAACTCAGTCAAATTGTTAAAAAAAATGAAATATTGCCATGTGGGTGTCAAACTAAAAAGTTTTAAGAAGGCTTACTGCCGAAAATATGTTTGAGGAGGGTTGCCATCTGTTTGAAAATTTAACTAAATTACATTGATAAAATAAATAAAATATTACAATATGGGTATCAAATTAAAAAAGTTTGAGAAAGATAACTGTTGGAAATATTTTTGAGGGGCTGCCACCTATTTGGAAATTGTAACTCAGTTAAATTGATAAAGTAAATGCAATGTTGGCATGTGGGTGTCAAACTAAAGAGTTTTAAAAAGGCTTACAGTCTACCATGAACACTTCCAAAAATATGCAATATGAAAAGTTCGGTTTATATGGGAGGTGCCACACGCCATTCTCCAACCATGCAAATTTTTCTCCATGAGTATGGAATTGGTCTTATATATGTATATAGATATCACCATACCCAGTTCTAGTCCTCTACCACAAATATATGCAATTTGAAAAATTCGGTTTGTATGGGAGTTGCCACGCCCCCTTTCTATATCGAAACTTTTTTTAGCTATAACCATCCTTGGAAAGTCTGCAGTAGATTCCGAAATTTCAAAAGAATCGGTACGGCCTTTCTCGAGCTTTGCGAACAGAAAAAAACGCCTTTCAAAATATATATTAGTATAGACTAGCCAAACTCTGCTTGTTTTGCGGGTTAAAACACTACTACCGATGAAAATCGATGGATAAATAAACAAGTTTGCAAGGGTTAAGTGAAAGTGCAATAATTTTTTGTATGAAATACTAGCAGGAAATTTAACAAAGCTATTGCAATTCAACAGTAAACAATTTTTTTTTATAAATTTTTCGATTACTTTTTAAATTACTTTGAGGAATGGAATTGGAAAAAAAATCAATTACATTTTCAATTCCTTTCAAAGGAATTGGAAAAAAAATTACATTTTCAATTCCTTTCAAAGGAATTGAAATAAAAGAAATTACATTACTAGCACGTAATTTATTCCAATTACAATATGAAATTCCTTGTAATGGAATTAAAGAAAAAAACAATTCCATTTGAAATTACTTCAAGTAATTGAAAAAGTAATCGATTCCTTTGCAGTGAACTAAAGGAATTGAATCCTAATTACAATTACTGAGGAATGTAATTGTAATTGTAATGTAATTGCATTTACCCAGCTCTGAGGCTCGTTATGAGGCAGACGATTGGATACTATGGTTTACAGACGGATCTAAAACAAGCGGCATACCCGGAAGTTATGCAGTGGTCGACAATAATGCCCACACCATAAGGATACAAATTCTTCTTTCACTGCAGAAGCCACCGCAATACGAAGCGCGATCACTTTAGCGTTAGAATGTCCCTCTAAAACTCTTATATGTACGGACAGCCTGTCTGTCCTCAGAGCAATTTTAAACCCATCTCCGAGCGCCACGACAGATCAGAGATATCTTCTTCTTCTTCTTATTTGGCGCTGTAACCGCCTAAGCGATTTTGGC